TCAATCATGAGGTTTTGCTTATGCTTGCTCTTTCATAATTTAGTTACTTATTGGGTCTTGTTTTATTTTTTGTGCAACGTGCATGATCACATTCACATATTAGCGGCTAAGGATAATAGACCAGATAAAGATTGCATGCAAAACATGTTTATATAAAGAGAAAAAGTACCGAAAGGACGTTAGATTAATCTAGAATAATCAAGTCATTGTATTCATAAATCTCTGGTTCTCAAAAGTAAGGTAAACTCGCACGTCCTACTTGGATTTCTAATTAACCCATAAAGGATCGGTGGCGGCTCCAAGGTAAGTTAACTCGCAAGTTAAATCGAGAACTCAAGTTGCAGAGGATGGGCTTGGGAGAGCTCGTGTTCAACACGAGTGTCGCCTTGTAAAAGGGTATGTTGTTCCTACTTAGCAATCCATTAGCTTTCCTTTAGTGGTTCATCTCAAGAAAGATCGTGACACCTAAGTGTAAAGAGGCTCTCCGAAGCAGCAGATTTCCTACTATGCAACTAAGATTTCTTTTTCTTGTCTTTTCATTTAATTTAATCCTAATTAAATCCTAATGATTATATAAGGAGATCAAAAATTAATCTAATCTTATTAAACTAGACAAATCAAGGTTAAAATTACTAAAATGATAAAATCATGAATAAATCATCAAATGCAAATACTCCTAATCATGCAAAAAAAAATTTTTAAAGACTAAATTAATCTAAAGCAAAATTAAAGACCTAATGATCGAATTGAGACATTAGTCAATTAGAAACCTAAAAATCTAAGGCCGTGACTTCTAAACTAGTTAATCTAGGAAAACATTAATTGAAAACTTCTTAATCTAAGGTGTAAACTAGGTTAATGTTCTCTGCATGCAACGTACTAAACTATACTAATCAAAGATGCAACTTTTTAATTAAAATAACAAGGGTCCGATGTTTTGTGTCAAAGATCGGATTCCCATGTATGAGGTATGTGATACTCAGTACAAGAACGTGTAATCATGAACAGCCTATGTATGACAACTATGTAATATGATAGCATAAAATTGTATTCCAAGCATCCTCTAATCAGACTAGATAAAAGAGAAAGCCAATCCTACTTCTATTAGGACTAGTTCACTACACTAATTTTACCTTGGTCAGGGTACCACACCAAGGACACCAAGTGGAAGCACCGAGCACCAGATGGCGGAGTTCACTACACCAATATGCGGTTTTACATTTAAATATTTTAACGGAGCACCGAGCACCATGGTGACATTGAAGATTTAGCCGTAAAAAGAAAAATTGTCTCCTATGTTTTGAGTCTTCGAATTTTGTCGCGTTATTTTGGCATAATTTAATCTAAACATAAGTTCGTTATTTCTGATTCTTTAATCAGAAAAAAAAATTAAATTATTTCATTAATATCTTTTGTTAGTTTTGATGAAGAATTCGAAAAGGAACAGTTTGATTTCGATTTAAAGGCAAATCAAATGCTCCAGACCGTTACATGCCAAAAGCTTGCCTCATCAGCATCTCAAAGTTTAAGATAATCATCTGAAGCCCAATTTCGAGGAAATTAAGGAAAGTTTAAGATAATCATCAGTAACTACTTCTCAAACTCATTTATTTTTCACCATAGAACAAGTTCAATCGGTTCAGTTATTTTGCAAAAAAATCTATAATTTAAAAAACATTTTCTGTTAAAATGATTATTTTTATCGCTTGAAAGAATTAATTGATAAGAAAACACTTTCATTATGAATAATAGCATAAATCTGAACATTTCCATTGATAATAGAAATTATTTTTCATAAATTCAATGCAACTACGTCCATTGTCACGACAACAAGCTCACGTGGCCTTTTCTTTGGATACGAAATGCGTCGATTATTGAGTAATTACAACATTAATTCGAACATAAGTCACGAGAATATAATTTGGACAAACGCAAAGTTATCAAGGGTCAAGTAAAACGTTTTAGGGGAAATGATTTTCATGCAACTCATCAAGTGGGATGGGACATCTTAGGAGGCACCAAGTCTGCCAATTATAAATAGCTTCGACATAGTCGAGTCGTTAATTGTAACATGATGTGATGTGATAATTACACTCGGAGATGGATAATCAAATTTTGGGTTATATATATGATTTAATAAAAGAATGTGAAATCGAAAGGACGACATCAACCTCGAAATGGGGTGCTCACCCTTACTCATGCATAATTGAACCGATGAATCTATATATTTGACTTTCACAAGCCAGTTGACCTCTAGGTGATTCGTTGATTTCCTCGTAACATCTAGAATTTTAGATTTCTAATCGATCTAAGAAATGATTGGTGCGCCATAAACTATGGGGCGGATTTTTTTTAGAAACTGAATTTTGCTTATCATTTTTATTTTTTACTCTCGAAATTAAAAATCTAGATTTGCGCAAGGGCGAGTCACTACACGACCGACCATCCTTTCATTCTTAGTGAAATAAGATTGACACAAGGCGAACGGTTCATAACTAGAAGATTGAAGTGACCTCAAGCAACCATCACTAAAGAAGATTTTTGAGGAGGAAAATGTGAAGTTCAATTTGAATTAGTGTCTAGATATCCAATCTTTTTGTAATACTACTCGAATTAAATTTTTCTTGTAAAATTCATTTGAAGTGTAGACTTCAAATCATTCTACTTGTACTTCAAGGATAATAAAAACAATGATATTAAGTTATTATTCATACTCATATTCATATTGTATATCTTTTTTTTTTGCCAACCAAAACTAAAAATGCCCTTAATCTACATAGTTAAGTCAAAAAAATGGGTTTTATCTCTCTTTTGGATTTCCCATTTAGCCCTCAGTTACATATTACTTTAACATTTTAATGTAATCTAACTTTACAGAGAACAAAGTAAAACAGGCCAAAGACAGAGATAATAGACAAAAGAAAATGACCTATTATATTTCATCCTTTCAATAGCGCAACAACTAGTTTCATCCTTCTCTTAATTTCTTCTTTTAAAATTTGAATAAATGTTTTACTTAATGATTGAAAGAATAAGAAGATATCATTTGATGCTTGCTTTTTGGAAAATAATTATAACGATGAAAAATTACTTTCAATATTTTTTTTCCATCCGATTAAAATTATGGTCTTGTTAATATGTAGTATGATATTGCATAAGGAACGAAGATGACCGTAGAGGTGTGTAATGCCAAAACTTTTTTTTTATTGAAGGCCAAGTTACTATTTGTTCCATTTAGTTTGCTTTCGCTTCACAATCTTAATATGGTAAAAATTAAAATTTTGTTAAATCAAAATAAATTACAAGTATTTTTTTGTAAAAAAAAATCGAAATACTTAAAACAAAAAAGGGATCGAAATTGGCCCAAACACGTGCTTGGCCTTGGCTTGGCACATGGGCCGAAAAGGCCTGGCCCTACCCAAATTACACGCAAGTGTTACGGACCGTGATTCTCTCATGCTCCTATACTCTTGTAAGTAGTGCTCGGGGTTATCGGGTGAAGAGTGAGGACGCAAAAGGGATAAGGTGCAATTGGGTAATGGGAGTAGTGTCAAGACAGTTGGTGCTAGGAGTTCTAGGATGGAACAAATGTACCTTAGGAGCTCTAAAGGTGGGATGGGCCTTGTCACGCCCCGAACCCCAACGAGCTCGCGACATCCCTCATCGGTCGAATGATGCGATATCCTAGCGTATCGCCGACCCCACTTATGATCATTAGATATTTAATTCAACAGCGGAAACTACAAATCACCCTGACAATTAAAACTGGGGAGACTAGGGAGAATACACATATTCTTTTCTGATTCAAACTTGTACCATAATATTCACAATTTTACAAACCAATATATACATGTGCACACCGTACTATAAAACATCGATATCAAAAAGAACCGATGACCTGGGCATCTATCCTCAAAAATGGTACTCCTCAAATTTCCTAGCTTCAACCCCTATACTAACCTCTACGCTCCTTACTCGGCGTCCATTCGGAATTTGATTCCTCGTCCTCAGAATCTGAGTTCTCCTGAACAGTCTGCTCCTCCGAGGACTCTGGTTCAGCCTCAATTTCAATCGGGTGATTAATGTCACCCGACTCAGCTGGAACTTCATTCTGAACCTCCTCAACTAATACATCAAAGAAATTGTATTCCGGCACAAAGTTAGGATCCATATACTGCTCGTACGGGATTATATATTCCGGTTCCTCCTCAGGCTCCTCGGACTCGTTAGGCTCAACTTCAGGTTCTATCTCGGGTTCTACTTCTTCTGGTTCCTCCTCGGGAATTGGTTCTAAATCGATATCCATCGGGTCGCCTTGAGCCTGCGATGCTTCGGGTTCAGGTTCGTGCTCGGCTCCGAAAGACTCTTGAGCTGCGGGTGCTGGATGTAAACCAAACTGAGCTAAACTAACCTCTGTACTGGTCAACTCTCCATCTATCGGGGGTCTGACAGACGGGTCCCAATCCCCGACTAAGTCAAACGGAACATCAAAACCCCTAACGGGCCCGAACTCATCCCCGGCTGCATCCCGGAAGAACCAGGCGGTATAAACATGGGTCTCCCATAAAGGTAATCCTACCTCTACAAAAACAGTCGTAGTATGCTTAATCCAGGTCATGCCATCACCCATCGGAAATTCTGCAACCTCATACTCGGTGTGCACTGGTACCCCAAAACGCTCTGGTGGCGGTGGCGGAGGATTCATGACTCAGGTCGGGGTTCTGAAAAATGTTGGTCGAAACAACCATGAGACTACATCTCAGTAAGTACACCCCTAAACCCCACCTAGGTTATCACGTACCTCCAGACAATTACACAATCACAAACACAATCACATATGTGCAATCACATGCAGGTACAATTCTAATTTCATGCATTCATTTCATTCTCATCATATCCTTTCCACATCTCTCGCTAGTGACCCGCATTGAAGTACACGCCTTAGGTACACTGCGACCTCTTATCACAACACTTTAGGGCCTTCGTTAACGTACACGCCTCAGGCCATGTTTCTTGCCCGCGTTGAAGTACACGCCTCAGGCTCAACACCTACCACCTACTGCGCAACCCGCGTTGAAGTACACGCCTCAGGTTGGTAGTCTTCCGGTATTACCGGGCATCGTCCCGCGTTGAAGTACACGCCTCAGGCTGGTAGTCTTCCGGTATTACCAGGCATCGTCCCGCGTTGAAGTACACGCCTCAGGACGGCACAATTTCCACGAACGCATGTCATACCACATTACTTTCTCACTCATACACATGCTCAACAAGCATTTACCACACTCAACTGGCCAATCATACGTGGCCCGTGCACGCATCAATTCACACGTAAAACATGCTCACTAAGCATTTGACATGGCCAATTTTAATAATTAAATCAGTTTGGCCCAAGCGTGCACCCAACAGGCATATTTCAATCATTTAATTGCACAACCACGCACTCACTTTCATCACCAAAATTCAGTCGTAGTTCAAACACACATTAAACACACAATTTGCCATTTTTGTCCAACCAAACGGCGTCAAATCAACTCCGACCCTTCACGACACTTTCTCACAATTAATTGCCAGTTCTAAAAATCCAATTTGCGTCCCGATCGGCCCGTCACAGCCCACTGAACAGTCATCCACAGCCCATTTCCGACCTCGATATTTCCACGAAAATTTCCGAATTCAATCCTAAGGCCCGCCACATAATCCCAATCCCAAAATCGTACCATTCCGCACCTATATAAACCCGATTCCACCCCAAAAATTTCCCGTCGATACCTGACGTCCTAGCTAAGGTTTAGGATATGACTTACCGAGCCCTAGACTATCTCGGCTAGAGCGAATAGCGGCGGCAAGACGAAGATCTAACGGCGGCTAGCGGCGGCGGTGATGATCGGCGGCGATTGGCGAACGGCGGCGAATTAGGCAGTGGCCAGTTGGCTCACGGCCAAGGGGAGAGAAACCAAGAGGGAGGAGGACAGCATGAGGGTCGGGGACGACTTGGTGGCGAAGACGGCGGCAGTCGGACGGGCGTGACCGGCGGCGATGGTACGGCGACGAGCGGCCAAGGGGCGACCGGCGATCGGGAGGAGAGGAGAGAGAGTGATCGGAAAGGGGGGCTCACGGTGGTGTGGAGGGGCCGAATGTAGGGGAGAGAGGAGAGAGAGAGAGATAAGGCTTGGACCAACTTTGACCAAAACGGTAAATGACGATCTTGCCCCTCTCTCACAAACGAAATCAACGGCCCAGATTCGATCTTATCTTGAAACCAACGGCCCAGATCGAATCTCATCCAAAAATATCTAAGGGTAGTCTTGTAATTTCTCAAAAAGTCCAAGGGCAAAATTGTCCTTTCCAAATTTGAGGGTAAAATGACCAAAACGCCATTTGCCCATAAAACTAACCCTTTATCAATTTCCAAGGGTAAAATGGTCACTTTCTCCTTTTCTCGCCGAAATCGAACTTTTCTGAAAAATCCGAAGAAATCCAGAGTTGTACGTTCCAATTACAACGTCGTCCAAAGGCCCTGCCGTGACTTTCCAAATTTTCTGATGCTCGGTTTGGTCTCTAATCAATATTCAAATTATATATGTATAACGTAACTTAAGCGTTTCTCAGACTAACGGGTGGCTTTTGGGAAATTCGCCCATACGACCCGTGACTGATACTAAATGGAGTCACGTGCAATTTATTCAGACCGTAACAATTTCGTTTACCAATAAAATCGCGAGGATCAATCACTAGATCCGAGGGGTACGATCATTCGGTATAGGTTGAGGATCGTTCATCAATTCAATTCGTGGTCTGGCGGAATCACCCGCGATCCACTACTATGACAGTGGCGAACGGACTCCTGGCTATCCTTGGATCGGCCAACAGTGGTTCAAAATATCACCTCGACGATTTCATGGTCGAAAGTCAATTCACGATCGAATTTTCTTTAGTCGTACGAATTTAGATCCCTCACTAGCCTTTCCCTATAGGTTAGTATCCCAGGAATGATAAGTTCCGGGTGAGAACTAGCTACAAGTACATTAATAAAATAATTCATTTCATAAATCCCAAATGAGCGAAATTTCGGAATGTCACAATCTTCCCCCCTTACAAAAATTTCGTCCTCGAAATTTACAAATCTCACTACTACCCAATATTTACAATTCCTACTACTGCTCAAACAACTGGGGGTATTGACATTGCATCACATCTTCACTTTCCCAAGTTGCGCCTTCAGTCCCGTGGTACTCCCAAATAACTTTAACCATCGGGATTGTCTTGTTCCTCAAAACTTGTTCTTTTCGGTCTGCAATCCTTACTGGTCTCTCGACATAAGACACCTTGTCATCTACTTCTATCTCCTCATAATTTAGCACATGCGTCGGGTCCGGTTCATATTTCCTCAACATCGATACGTGGAACACATTATGCACTTGCGATAGGTTTGGTGGTAACGCAAGGCAATACACTAATTCTCCAATCCTTTCTAGAACCTCAAAAGGTCCCACATATCTTGGACTCAACTTCCCTTTCTTACCGAACCTGGATAGTCCCCTCATGGGCGATACCTTAAGGAACACGTGATCCCCTACTTGAAACTCCAAAGGCCTTCGCCTTCTGTCTGCATAACTCTTTTGACGGCTCTGTGTTGTCTTCAGCCTTTCGTGTATAATCTTAACCGCCTCAATCGATTGTTCGACTAGCTCTGGCCCGGTTATAGTCCTTTCTCCCACTTCGTCCCAACACACGGGTGTCCTACAAGCCCTGCCATATAGCGCTTCAAAAGGCGCCATTCCAATGCTCTGCTGGAAACTATTATTATAAGCAAACTCTACTAAAGGCAGTTGCTCTTCCCACTTATCCTGAAAATCCGGCACACATGCCCTGAGCATATCCTCTAAAGTCTGAATTGTCCTCTCAGACTGGCCATCTGTCTGAGGATGGTAAGCCGTACTAAACTGTAACTTGGATCCTAACGCCGTCTGCAGACTTTTCCAAAAACTGGCGGTAAATCTAGGATCATGATCTGAGGTTATCGACACTGGTACCCCATGCAAACGAACTATTTGCTGCACGTACAACTCAGCATACCGGAATAATGCGAAATCCTTTCGCACAACCAAAAAGTATGCCGACTTGGTTAGTCTGTCGACAATCACCCAAATAGTGTCATGGCTTCTTTGGCTCCTTGGCAACCTCGATACAAAATCCATGGTTATATGCTCCCACTTCCATTCTGGGATTTCCAATGGTCGCAACAACCCTCCGGGCTTACAATGTTGTGCCTTCACCTGTTGGCACGTCAGACATTTGGCCACATGTCTGGCTATATCCACCTTCATACCGTTCCACCAGTAGTATTGCCTTAAATTCTGATACATTTTAGTACTACCTAGATGGATATTATAACTGCTACGATGCGCTTCCGATAAAATTTCTTCCTTAAGCTCCGCATCGTCAGGCACACATAAGCGTCCACGAAACTTCAATATCCCATCTTCTGATACTTGGAAATCTGGCTTTCTCTTGGCCTCCTCCATCTCTAGAATCTTTTGAATTTCCTGATCCGAAGATTGTAACATCTTAATTTTGGTCTGGATTTCTGGTTCAATCCTAAGTGTAGCCAGCAAGCTCGAGACTTGACTTACTTAAATCTAAACTCCGAGTCTCGCACTTTTTCTAACAGTGTCCACTCCTTAACCATCAAATGAGCTATGCTCGACTTCCGACTCAAAGCATCGGCTACCCGGTTAGCCTTTCCGGGACGATATAGAATTTCACAATCGTAATCTTTCAATAACTCCATCCACCGACGCTGCCTCATATTTAACTCTTTTTGAGAAAATAAATACTTGAGGCTCTGATGATCAGTATATATCTGAAATTTCTCTCCGCATAAATAATGTCGCCAAATCTTCAGGGCGAATACAATTGCGGCTAACTCCAAATCATGCGTCGGATAGTTCAATTCATGCGGTCTTAACTGCCTTGATGCATAAGCTACTACTCGCCCATTTTGCATGAGTACACATCCCAATCCTTTCAACGACGCATCACTATATATCTCATATCCTCCGGGTCCTGATGGAATAGTCAACACTGGTGCCATTGTGAATCTATGCTTCAATTCTTGAAAACTCCTCTCACATTTATCTGTCCATTCAAACCTCGTTTCCTTTTTCAGCAAATGTGTCAACGGCATTGCTATTGCCGAAAATCCTTCCACAAAACGACGGTAGTATCCAGCCAAACCCAGAAAACTCCGAACCTCTGTTACCGTCGTCGGACTAGGCTATTTCATCACAGCTTCAATCTTCGATGGGTCAACTGAGATTCCTTCCCCAGAGATTACATGACCGAGAAATGCTACTCGACTGAGCCAAAATTCACACTTGCTAAACTTAGCATATAATGCGTTTTCCCTTAAAGTCTGCAACACTCGATTCAAGTGAAATTCATGCTCCTCTAAGCTCTTCGAGTAAACCAATATATCGTCTATAAACACAATCACAAACTGATCTAAGAATTCCTTAAACACCCGATTCATCAGATCCATAAAGGCAGCAGGGGCGTTCGTCAATCCAAACGGCATTACAGTAAATTCATAGTGTCCATATCTCGTCCTAAATGCTGTCTTCGGTATGTCCTCCTTCCTAATCCTCAACTGATGATACCCCATTCTCAAATCAATTTTAGAGAACACCGAAGCCCCTTGTAACTGATCAAACAAATCATCAATCCTCGGCAAGGGATATTTATTTTTAATTGTCGCCTGATTCAGCTGCCTGTAATCTATACACAACCTCAATGATCCATCTTTCTTCCTCACAAATAATACCGGCGCTCCCCACGGAGACGCACTCGGTCGAATAAATCCCTTATCTAATAATTCTTGCATTTGCACCTTTAACTCTTTTAACTCCGACAGTGACATCCTATAAGGTGCTTTCGAAATTGGCTCGGTTCCAGGTGCCAACTCGATTACAAATTCCACATCCCTTGCTGGTGGCAGTCCCGGCAATTCCTGAGGGAACACATCGGGATACTCGCACACCACAGCTATATCCTCAAGCCTCAGCTCTTCAGCCGTTAAATCAACTACTGCTGCTAAAAATCCTTGACAACCTTCACTCAGCAATTTTGTCACTTCTAGCGACAAAATCCATGGAATTGAGGGCCCTCCTCGACTTTCCACAAATTTAAATTCTGGATGTCCAACCGGATTAAATTGG